ACCCTAATAGCTTGTGTCAGATTGTAGAAATGAGTGAGAAAGTAGATTCGCACATAAATCAATGTATGTCACGAGCGCTCGGGAGCACTCGGTGAGTGGTACGAGTTACGCAGAATTGTGCCAGCTTCAACCATCTTGCTGAACACAGCAGCCACTCCCTCACTGGCAATCCCGATGTGCCAGAAATTTTGGGAACTGGAAAATGTTACTTCAAATTTGTTTCGAAGACAAGTAAAACAAACAAGAATGAATGACATTTCAGAACAGACTATTTCAGTTTAACCACGACAGTAGGAACACGTAGGATGTAGTTGAAAGCCTGTTTTTCCACTCACTGATTCAATGCAGAAGTATACTGTAACGTTTATTCCGTTCGTTTTCTACAAGGGATATACCATAATTCCGAGAACACTTTGAAGCTACCCTTTCAGGAAATTTGTATTCCATGATCCCTTGGAAAACTTAAGAGAGATCCAATGCACATATTTCAGTCTTCGACCAACTTTATATGACGCACGAGGGCTTTATTGAACTGTGTGGGGCTTATGAACTGCTATGGTACCCTGGTCCTCCCGGTTGGGGGTTGGTCGCAAGGCTAACAACCTTGCACCTTAAAAAGGAAGATGTTTCGAAACCTCGATCGAAGCCTCGGACAGACGGACCTAACAGAGGACCGAACGGAAGAGGAGAATTGAGGAGGCCGTGGACCGAATACGGACCGGAGAGCCATAGAAGAAGAAGTGTTTAAATTATGAAAAATATAAAAATTAATGTGTTACACACTGTACATTAAGTCTATGGTTAAAACATGAAATTTAAAATATTCTGTTAATATTTCCTTCTTATCTACGATAGAATTATATTAAGTAACAGTTAAGTACGCAAAGCACACCTTCATCTGCTCTAAAGAATCCTTGTAGGGTAAGTTTATATGGTACTTAAAGTACAGTGATTATTTAATATTAATGCGGTCCTTATTGTAACCACATCTACGTCCTTTGCTTACTTACCTATTATTAACGTAATTTTATATTACATAAAAGGAAATGTTATGTTTTAACCATAGACTTAATGTACAGCATGTTATAAAAATATGTCTTTATTTCAAGCACTAGCAGATTATAAGCCACACACAAGTCAATAAAATCCTCGTGTGCCATCTAAAGACGAAACGCAAACTGCCAGAACTAACCTTTCGTACTTACCAGGGAGTCATCGAGCAAAAATCAAGAATCACAAGTGAGCAAAACATTAATCATTGATAAGCGATCAGTATCGGTAGAAATGCATTTTATAATACAGTATGACAACTCATAAAACTAATGATTAGTGGCACACAAATTTCACTTTTCAACACCATAAAATAAACTGAAGGGTCTGATAGCTTCCAAAATAAAATGTTGTCCCAAAAAAGGCTTAAAAAGACCTCTAAAACATGGAAGATTCCATTTTGCAGTAACGTAATGTACTGATATTGATGATAAAGTAGTATATATCTACAACACATAAAATGAAGATTTTCTCCAGGAATTAACTGACCTTAATGCCAGGTGTTACTAGCTGTGCAATCTTCTCGGTCATGAGGTCGTGGAAGTGCGGATGAAAACGGTACACTGAACCATCAATACCCACAGTCACGTTATCTTTGCCCATCTTGTTAATCAGTGTGGCCGCACCAGCCGACACGAGATGTGCGGCACGCCTTGACACACACTCGCATACGTAACGCACGTTGCTGCAGTCTTGGTCGGTCGCATGGCTCAGGCCCAGTTCATCCAACACTTGCCGGCAGTTCACGTAGCTTCCCCTCTTGTCACTGTAAAATTAATAATCACTGGAGTAGAAAATAGATTTCTCGTCTTTTGTCGCATTAATATTAAAATGTCACTTGATTCTGTTTTCAACACGCATCTGATATCCATGCACTTGTAGAAAATTAAAATATAAAAAGTTAATATTTCCCTTGACAGATGCAGAAGGGAAGCGTGAATGGTGAAGGAGTATAAGCATGCTTTTATATTTAAATTATCCAGTTTTTGGACAATCGGTGCCACTCTTCTTAAACGGTCGTGTGCATATATGATTGTCTCCTTGTTGCAAGATAAAAACAAAAATCCTTGTGAAGTGTCGCTGAACGAAACTTGCAAATGTACTGTGTTTCACCTTTTCTCTTGTCTGTAGTGCACGCATTACACCACCTGGTTTGATAGTTCATTTCTCCTACTACTATCCCCCCCCCAAGTGTCAGTCATCAGGGCGATGAATTGCCCTGATGATGGAGGCAGTATGACCTCCGAAACGTTGGTAAACATCAACCAGACTACACAGCGCAACAACCCAGAAGACAGAAATCTTCATACTCTGATGAC